TAATTATTTATCAATTACATAAACATTACATCATTAATTATTTAATTAATCAAAAAAATTACATTTTTATTAACAACAAATTAATTCTTAAACAAAACTATTAAATATAAACTAAGCAAACGTGCATTGCACGTTGCTTGCACCTAATTTTATTATAAAAGCCCACACAATTTGTCATTTCAAATGTAATTCAAATTTAGACTTTCAAGCTATATAACTTTGCTCTCTTTGATATCACGTATTCTCCCCAAAGTCACCCCCCTTTCTTTTATTGACTTGACTGTCGAGTGCACGCGACTAACTTCACCACCATCAGAGGAAGTCATGTGTAGCTAACAGTTTGTCATAGTACGCAGAAATCAAGTTTACGTGGACGTGGGAGACAATGAGTTATGTTGACCACATTGGAGGTACAAAAATTGATGTCAACAAAATGTACGAGTAAATTTGAAGAAAAATATATTTTTTTAAAAGGTGTCCAAACAATAATTAAATATGTTACATAGTTAACGAGTGGGATTAACATACTAAGTACCATAATACAATGAAAATATCATTTATACACTTCAAAGTGTGTATCATATTTGACAATTGTCTTCTTGTTAAAAAATGATTGGAGGGAAAATTATTTATTTTTTAAAACCTTCAAACTTGTACACCAAGCATGATTGTAATATTGTTTGAATATAGCAAGTGAAAAGTAATCCAAATTCTTATTTTAAACTTAGGGTGTGTTTGGTATCTATTAAAATTTTCATTCTCATTCTTCTACTCATTTTCAACTACACATTCTTCATTAAAATAATATTTTCCATCACATCAATAGCTTTTCCTTTTTTTTCAACCACATATTCTCCATCAATCTACTATTCCAAAATACATTCTTCAAAAATAATATCCATCAAACACACCCTTAACAACAATCAATAACACCCGAGATCACTCATTACAGGTTTTACTGTTTGAGTTAACCACAAAGGCCGTATTTGATAGGCCACAATTTTCGGGGATGTAGGAAAATATTTTCCACTTTCCACTTTTTTGACTGTTTGATAGGCGAAATTTTCCACGAAAAATATTTTCCTGATTTTCCCTACATGTGTGCAATTTTCGAGTTTTTGATGAAAATGTTTTCCCCTTTTTTTGGTGGGAAAATATTTTCCTGGCAATGGGAACAAATGTCATAACTAGGTAAAAAAAGTTTTTACTTTAATGGACAATTTTCATGTAAAATAAAGTCAAACGAACACTAAACTTTGATTAAAAAAATGATTTTTTAGGAAACAATTTTTTTCTCTTTTTTTTTTTACTTTTTGGTAATGGAAACAAATTTTATAACCAATTGTGGAAAAAAAAATCACTTTAATGGACAATTTTTATGTAAACCAAAGTCAAACGAATAGAAAATTTAAAAATTTTTCAGGTGGAAAATTATACCAATCAAACACCCTTGAAATCATTTTCCCTGCAAAACATTTTCTAAACAAATATTTTCTCTGTAAAACATTTTCTTTCCACCCATTTTCCACCATTGCAATCAAACGCATCCAAAGAGAATAAGAAAATCCAAAGGATGCTAGCATATAATTTTTCCTCTCAAGCCAAATTCACAAAAGAGAAAGAATTTAATCAATTTATAATAAACATTGCTCCAAAGGATGCTAGCTTATAATTTATCTTCCATGGATCCTTGCACTAATAGAGAACATCATTTTGTTTAAAATGAAAGAAACAAAAAATAATAATATATTTACGATACACCTCTGTTAATTTTGAATTTTTACTATCGATCCAGTTTGGACCTAATGTATGAAAAATCATCTGAGAATTTCAATTTCAAGAGCTCAAATCAAATCGATATTAATGTATTTTTTTTCTACATTGCAATAGAATTATATGATTACAGGAGATTTTTAGTACATCTATGCTTGATGTATTTGTATAACTATCATTCAGACGTGGTAAATTTGATAGTGGATGCATATTGACGCACTATTGATTGGCTATAAACAAAGTGATATGAGCTGACGGCCAATTTAGGGAGTGAACAATAGAGATGTTGGTCGAGGTATACGCTACAACGTTACTAATTGTGACAACTGGTGACTCGGCACTTCACCATGTGCGCCATTTCAAACTTATAAATTAGTCTTATTTCTTTTCGAAAAAGATTCATTCCACACAATTTGAACACTCATTTCAAAATATTTCTATCGAAATACCATTTTAACCTCCGCTACTTACTAGAGACGTTGACCCGTCTCGCACCGTTATTATGAATAAATCTCCACCCTCATATTAGAGACTTAAAATACGTGAAACAATAGAGCCGTGAACTCGTGAAAGGATTAATGATTAATCATTAGTAGTTGACACTAAATCACGTGAAACAATATGTTCATTGACTCGTTAAAGGATTAATATGAAGTGGTACCTTTTAGGAACATGGTTGTCGGAGGTTGCAGCATTCACTTTCGGTTTGTCTCCAAGGTTGTACAAAACCTTTTCAAGCATGGCTCCTTCTGCCTTTATTTTTTTGGTTAATTACTCATTTTCATATCCATAATAACTTAAATTTAAGGGAAATTTACAAAGGAGGTTTCACACCTTTTAGAAATGGGCAGTGCGATTCCATCAAACGTTTAAATCGTAGCAGTTACGTTCCAAACGTTTCAATAACGTGAGGCGAAAGGATCTCTAACGATTTTCAATTGAAAGTACAAGATCATTTTTGAAGTAAATGGTACAAGAAATCATTCACACAAATTTAGTGCCTAGGCACAATTTGAAACAAAGGGATTTGCGTAATGGCATGGTGTATTGAATTTCGTTTATACATTTTCTGGTATACTGTATTCGTCAGACCCGACCGTTAATCATTAGGTCCAAGAAATGACTCTAAAACAATTGAAAAAAAAATTAAAAAATTAAGAAAAGGTACTCACATTTTGACTCCTAAACTCACTTTAGGTGGTTAAAAGAGGAGTTGATAGTCTTTTTTCATGCTTTCCCCTTACGAGGGGGGGACGTTTGAAAACGCCTATCTAGAAAACTTTTTTCAATCTTTTAAAACACTGCATTTACTAAACCTGACTATTTAAAAGAATAAGCATATTTGTGCAAGGTAGCGTGGATTAAAAGCCTTTGAAAATAAATTTGTTCACATGCTTATTTTCTGGAATTCTTGACATTCACTGGATGAATATCATAGATGCCCTGGAGTATGAAACTAGATGCTGTGTTTCGGTTTGAACCATTTTTCAGATAGGACTGTGAATGATAATTAAGATTGTTACTATTTGTTTACTAATATTCAATAGAAACGAGAAAAATCTCACTGCATTTTTTTTTTTTCCCACTATTTTTCTGTAAAGATAAATTACTGAAAACCAGAAAAATTAATTGATTTTTTTTTTAACTCTCATGTTCCTGTTAAAAAGGATATTTGCGTATTAGTACCAAAAAGAAAAACTGAATTATTAAGCCAGATTGAAAAAAGTAAAATCCAATCACACGCCCAGTGGGACTCGAACCCACAATCGCCTGATTAGAAGTCAGACGCCTTATCCATTAGGCCATGGGCGCCTCTTGAAATATGCAGCAATAATATAAATATTTATATACACAATTGTGATGAAATTAACCTAATTAAACATCAGATATTGACGAGATCTTCTGGGAATTTAATTGCAGTTCTGTTTTCCAGCAAGCAATTTCTCAATATACGTAAAATTTTCTTCAATTTCGTTATATCTTTTACTGTCGTGCCTTTCTTCCTTTTTTTTAGTCTACCACATCATGTTTTTTATTACTGCTGATTTCGCTTTTCTATATTGTCCTTACTTTAGTTCTGTATTTAATAAACTTGGAAGTAAAGATATCAAACATGTTAAATGGTAAAAGGCTACAAGCGCCTGTGTGATTTTGACACCTTGTCTATCGCAAGAGAGATCGGATGCGTCTTTTTGAGTTAGTTTTAAGTAACATATAAATAAATTGCACTACTGATATTTAGGGTTGTAAATAGATTGGATTTTAATTCGAATTCAATCACAGTTCGATGAAATTAATGGGAGATGAATTTAGAATCTCAGTCCGATAACTCCGATCAAAATTCGAATCCGATAATCAGTTAACTAAATCAAACAAATATGAATATAGGTCAATATGATTCGATTTGTTATAATAATATAATATATTTTATATATTATCACATAATTTATTACACAATTTTTTTTTT